AAAAAAGCACAAGACCTAATCTAAAAAACAGCTAAAGCAAGACGCCCTGGGGCATGACTCAAGTGGAAGAGCCCCTGCCTAGCAAGGGCGAGGCCCTGAGTTCAAACCCCAGTACTGCCCCCATACTTCCCCCAAAAAAAACTTGAAAAGAAAGAGAAAACTAGGCATTTGAAACCTTGGAAGACACTTTAGTTTTCACCTGAATTGTGATTCTTCTCATTTATACAACAATTGTGGGTGTTTAATTTTGTTTTTGTACTGGGAATGTAACTTAGTGGTAGAGTCCCTTCCTAGCATGTCCAAGGCCCTGGGTTTGATCCCGAGCACTACAAAAAATAAATGATGTCACAGGGATGGGGTGTAGCTCAGTGGTTGAGTGTGTGCTTAGCATCTTCAAGGCTCTGAGTTCGATCTCCACCCCACCCTGCCAAAGGGTAGGATTTTTGCAGTTACTGATGGAAATGTCTTCGTCTCAGTGGTGAATTTTATAAACTACAACTTAGGCCACAAGTTTACTCATTTGGAGGGTGGGTGTGCAACACTCAGAAAAAACATTTACTTTTCCTCTCTCTTCCTTTGTTACAAAGTGGAGGGGGGAGGGTGATGCCAGAAAAGGGTATTTGTGTTGGAATTCTTTCAATAAATGCCCTATAAAACTTAAGAAAAGATCATTTTAGATTTACATTTGTTTTCCTGTTCTGATGGTCACTGAATGTTGCCCTAACTGGGCGATATAGGTGTACCCTCTAACAAACCCAGCAGTGGTTCTCAGATAGGGGAGATTTGCCGCCCAGAGGACAGATGGTAATGTCTGAGGGTATTTTTAATTTGGCACAACTTGTGTGTGGGGGGGTGGTACTAGTGCCTCGGAGTGACCTATAGATGTGCTGCTGAATATCAGTCATTAATGCACAGGACATCCCTTCCCCCATGCAGCAAAGAATTATCTGACTACACACATTAACAGTGCTAGAGGAGACCACTTTTCAAAATAAATCACACAAGAACACGATGGGGGCTTTCTGGAAACCTCACACAAACATGGGTTTGCAACTTCCTACCCCAGTTTCCCCTTCACCACAAGAGTCTTTCTAGAGTAACAGCTACGAAAGGAACTGCCTTTTAATCCTGGATATCCTCCTGGTATGGAGGCAAACAAGTGCTTTAAAAAAAAAAGATGAAAGTGGGTCCAGTAAGACTTCATCCAGATGACCAAGGACAGGAAACTGGGTCTTAGAACAGGAAGGCCAGACAGTCCTTGTCCAGACTCTGGCTTTGTAAGGCAGCATGGCAACCCAAGCACCACACTTCCTTCATATGTGGAGGAATAGGAGGAGAATTTACTCTGTGGCCACCTAACAGATTCTCATTATGACTCTCCACGAAGCAGATCCTGAAATTTAATCAACAAACTAGAGGAGCTTTAAATTGTCACCTTAATGTTCCAGTTATGTCACTCTATCAAGACCACCCAAGGCGGGGTTCCTATAGTCAAAAAGAGTTGGTAAAATGAAGCAGTGGCTCCCAACTCCAGCTGCATCTTTGAATGACCCAAAGAGTCAGAAACAACCACCAATAACAAACGCCACCCCAGTGACTGGTGAGCTCTGAAAACGGGTCCAGGGATCCCAGTATTCGAGGCTGGGCAAAAGAAAATAATAGCAAGAGAGAATTGATACACTGAATTATCACACAATTTGCCTGTCACAGACGGAAGTGAGGAGAAGGCAGTGAGAAGATTGATAAAGAGCAACTGTTGGCCACAGGCCAGACAATTCTGGGTCTCCATCAGAGAGGCTTTGGCTACAAAGCACTTATTGACTCTTTTATTCCTCCAACAGCCTAGTGAGACTGTAGTGTGCAGTTATGTCCACTTTACAAACAAGGACACTGGGGCACAGAGATTAAGCACAACCTATTCAAAGCCATGAAGTCAACACGGAAATGAACTTGGTCCCAAGCAACTTGGTTCCACAGCCTATCTTTGGCCACCAGCCTGTGACACGTCGACTTAGAAGCAAACCTGTGTATAAGAAAGCAGTCCAGAAATAATCCGCGCTGCAGAGTGAATCATAAATGTCAATCCGGGGTCTTGGGAGGACATGGCCAAGTCTGCACACTTGGGCTTGTGAGACATTGGATGGCACCAACCAGTGCTCACGCGGACCTCAGGGACCCTTAGACATTGCGCCCAGCTCTCTGTTGAGGTCACCAAATGTTCATTACGACCACCTTAACAGGGTCCATGCATCAAGCCTCAAACCTGCCACTCAGGATGGCTCTTCTTTTTAGTGACTTCTAAATTTAGATCAAGGCTGCAGTCCAGCCTGACCAGCGTACACATTTTCTCAGTTGTTTTCTGTTAACTGCAGCTGTCTCTGCATACTGCTTTATCTCTGCTTCATTATGGAACAATCTTGCCAGTTTTTTTTCTCCTGTTCACTTGCTTCCCCTTTTATCTTTCACTGTTAAGTAGAGACTAGGAAGGGGAAGAAACAAGAAGGCAAACAGGCAGAGACCTGGACAGGCAGGTTCCAAATAATGACCATTTAACTGGAAAAAAAAAAAAAAAAAACCAGAGGAATGACTAAATCCCCTAAAGATGACTCCAAAATTGCAGTCTTACTGTGTTTTGAACAAGGGTAAGTCCAGTCAGTTTAACATACATCTTCCAAAGGTAGGACTCATCTAGAGGAAATAACATCAAGTAGAATAAAGGCCAGATGTTTACAACTTCATCAGACAACAGACAGGACAGCCACTATGTACACAGAATAAACTCGGAAGTTTCTGAGACAGACACCTAGATGCAAATGCATTTTCAATTTAAAAACTGAAATATACATGTGGACATACGTGCACGTAATACAGACTTTCTAAAGAGGAGAAATAACCAGACCAATACATTAGCAATGACCATCTTTAAGGAAACAATTTGCAAGCTTATTCAGCCCACTTTACTCTGGGTGAAGTGCTAGATAATACTTTTGGCTTTGCAGACCAAAAGTCCCTGTCACAACTATTCAACTCTGTCACTGCAATGGGATAGGGCCTGAAGCAAGATGTAACAGAGTGGGTACGGTGGTGTTACCATAAAACTTTATTTAAAAAAAAACAGATGGTGGGCTGATTTTGGTCTGTGGAGTGTAGTTTGCTAATCCTTACTTTGTATCAGTAATCCACAGGACAGAATCAGATAAAAAAAAAAAATCCAACCAGATAGTGGCTCACACCTGTGATCCCAGGTACTCAGGAGGCAGAGGTGGGGAGTTCAAGGCTAGCCTTGGCAAAAAGTTCACAAAAGATCCCATCTCAACCAAAACATCTGGGTGTGGTGGCACACCTGTCATCCCAGTTATGCAGAGAACATAAATAGGCAGATCACAGTCCAGGCCAGCCTGGACATAAATGGCAGACCCTATCTCAAAAAATAACCAAAAGCAAAAAGGATCAAATGAGAGTGCCTGTCTGGCACGCAGCAGACTCTAAATTCAACCCCTAGTACCTCCGAAAAGAAAAGAAAAGAAAAAATTCAAACACTGTTAAGTACCCGTGGTTGCTTGTAATATGTAGGCTCGTGCTTATAAAATCATTTATGCAATCCAATCTAACACAAAATGTCTCAAATTCAGAGACAAGTAGTGAACTGAGTTTTATGGAATCAAGACTGCCATCTTGTGGTGACATGAGAGAACAGCCTCACAGTCTTGATTCCCTTTCATTGGGGGTACACAACTCACTCACCTGAGCCACTTTTTAAAATAATGATAGGGGAGTGAGCACCACAATGACATAATAAGCCAAAGATATCAACAGAACTAAATACAATCAATTTTCTGAAGCTTCAACTTGTCAAATTCTTCCAGAAGCCACTGAATAAAACAATGATCACAGAACTTCTTACTGGGTTGTGAAGCCAACTCAGCATCACAAGGTAATTTGAAGAACAAAAAGGCAAGAAGAATGGCCGAGTACCTACAACTCAGTTGTTGAAACTGAGAAAAGCTTTGAGATCCAATTTACTAAATCAGTGCAAACCCCAGAACCAGGTCAGAAAGAAAGAAGTGACAACAATGTATACTGTCCTGTGTTCATTAACTCTCATTGAAAAGGAATGGGTCACCTATGTAGCAACAAATGGCAAAGCTAAAGAAAGAACATAAACCCAATCTAGGGGTGGGGCGAGGGTGTACAGATCTGTAATCTCAGCTACCTGGGAAGCAGAGGCAGCAGGATCTCAAGTTCAAGGCCAGCCAGACAAAGTTACAGAAATACAACAAAAGGGCTGGGAGCATGTGGTTCCAGTGGTAGAGTGCTTTCTAGCAAGCACAAAGCCTTGGTGGGTTCAATACCCAGTACAGGGGGAGAGAGAGTGAGCGAGAGAGAGAAACAGAGACAGAGAGAAAAGAATAGTTATATGGTCAGAGCCTATAGGAAAGATACATTTGTAGGGGTCAGGGGAACTCAGGGGAGGGAGATCTCACAGGAAAGCTTCCAAGGGCAGAAGTATCCAAGCTGGTTCTACTGGAATGAGAAGGAGGTTGCTAGAGGGAGTGGAAAGAAGGCAAGAAGAGCTGCTGCAGCAGGGCAGGGAAATCTGCTGATGGGCACATGCTCAGACTTCAGATAAAAGATGCTCAAGAACCATGTAGACCCAACATGGTCTGCCCGTGTTTCCATTCTGGGCATCCCGATTCACACAGGAGGAAAAGGCATGGTGACAGAGAAGGCCCGGGAGGACTCAGAATCTCGGCATCTGTGATTCCCACACCGTATCCAGAGCCAAGAGGGTGGCCTCTAACCATTTGCCTTTCTCCAAAATGACAAATCACAGAAGTATCATAAAGCTTTGTACGAGTGCCAGATAGCAAAGCAGTTATTCTGCAACAAAACTTGTTCCCTGCCCTTTGAAATTTCAGCAGGAAGCAGTCAGTCATCAGCCTATCTCACTCACTCACACATTTTACAATTCCTGCCAGACAGAGGTCCTCGTGCCATACCTGGGTTGCTGGTGAGAAAGACAAGGGGGCTCTCGCCGAGGTCCACAGGGCCGTCCACTCGGTGGGGTGGGCTCTCCAGCAGCTCCACTCCTCCCTCCGGCTCTGGGTGGGTCCTCACCAGGAGGCCCAGGGAGGGCTGTGAGAGGAAGTCTTTGAGCACAGAGGAGCTCAGGGTGCCAGCAGCTCGATTATTGATCTCAAGAATTTCAGCACCCGCCTTCAAGCCTGCCAACGCAAAATGGAACATTTCACACTCAAATCAGAATACAACAACTCAGAGGTTCAGGAAAGCGCATATCAAACTTTCCTGCCAGGGCCTCACAGCCTCAGGGGCTGCTGTGAGCAGGCTTCAGTGTTTAAAGGTGATGCTCACACCGGCCAAGGCCTCAGAAGGTTCTAGACTCAAAGGTGACAGCAGACTTATCCCAACCCCAAAATGTCACCAAAACAACTCCTTCAGTCTATGAGCTCAAAGCATCTGCTGATTTGTCTTCACAAATGCTCATTGTGGCTATCTTCCTATAATGTTGTGCTATGATTGCTACAAACTGTATACTTTGAACACACTCTTATCTACTGATCATTTCCATGAGATCAAAATGCAGCAAGTTCCCTCTGGCTATAGCTACACAAGTAAGGTTGTCCTTCTCTAAACACATTCAGAGATAATTTACAGAACCAAATAGAGTGTCCTGCCTCTCCCCCTTCTTTAATTACATCAGAACCTTAGGGTGAATATCCTTCTCTTTTGTAGGATCTTTACAATGTTTGCTGGCTTTGCAAAGCATTCTGGGGGGAGGGGCCAAAGTTTGGACCCCAAGGAACAGCCAAGCCCAACCTGAAAGAATAGGAAGTTGTGACTAATTGTGGGGCAGTTCAAATTGGTATTAAAAGAATATTCCAGCACTTTGAGAAAGGAGAGGTTAGGAAAGAACCTGAAAGAAAACAATCCTTTTGGCTAAGAAGGGGAAGGGAGTCCATTGTTTTATTTTATACACTAATGGTGAAAAACAAGCTTAAAAAAAGGAAGTGAATATTGGGTGCTGGTGGCTCATGCCTGTGATCCTAGCTACTTGGGAGGCTGAGATCAGGAGGATCAAGGTTCAAGGCCAGCCCTGGCAAATAGTTCACAAGCCCCTTTGCCAAAACTACCAGAGCAAAACAGACTGAAGGTATGGCTCAAGAGGTAGAGTGCCTGCTTTACAAGTATGAAAACCTCAGTTCAAACCCTAGTCCCACCCAAAAAAAAAGAAGTGAGTCAAAGACAAAGACAATGAACTGCAGAAGTGAAAGCCACCCCACCCTCCAGAATCCATGGATCCCACCCATGATTCTGCAGAAAAAGGACTCTACAGAATTCTCACTTCCCAACTTCACTGAGTCACACCCTCCTCACTGTCCTTACTCAGGTCTCCAAAATACTTGAAATCCACTACCTAGCATAAAATATTCCAAGAACTAGTATGAGTGGGAAGAGAATAGATGGGAAATGCGAATGCTTTTCTTGGGTCTGGAGCCCTAAGGCGGATGAATGGGCATTCCATACCCCCTGGAGAACCATATCACTCCTGCATCCTGAGAAGATGGACGTCTGCATTCCTGCACCCTGAGAGGGAGTTGTGAACCACATTTCTGCATCCTAAAGAAAGATACAGGGTCTAATAGATCTGCCACAGGGCTGATGAGCAAAGTGCTCTCAAAATTGTTTCTCCTCTCCCAATAAAGGTGAAAACCAAATCAGTTCACCTGAGAGAGCCCACGAATCCACGGCCAATGAGAAAAACCCACCTAACTCACAGCTGGGATGTCCATTAAAAACCCCAGCCTTCACGTGAGCAGCCAGCTACTGTTTTCCGGGCTCCTCTGCACTGCTCTCGCTGTAGTCTTTCCTTCCCCTCTAATAAATCCTACTTTATTACCGGCTTTGGCTTATCATTCAGCTGCCTCACCAGCCAGTTCCCTGGCCTGTGAAGGCAAGGACCCTCAACACCGGCACGTGACATTTTTCTCCATGTTGGGGGCAAAACTATGTAAGTTAGCTATTCCATTTTTAGGCAAAAAATTGGGGTTTAACATTTGAATTGAAAACATAAACTTTCTGCATGTAAAAAAGTAGGGAGTTGGGGTTTTTTGTTTGTTGGTTGGTTGGCTGATTGGTCTTTTCCTGAAACAACCCAAGACTCTATGAAGAGTCTACAGACTTAAAAATCAAAACGTCTATGAGGTTTTAAAAAAGAAGCCCAGGTTCAGGTAACTGGCAGTGTAGGAGTGTGTCAGAAGTAAAATGGCAATTCCATAAAATATATGTCTACACCCCAGGACCTATGACTGTGACCTTATGAGGAAAAAGGATCTTTGCAGTTATAACTAAGAAACTTGAGAAAAGATCATGCTGGATTACGGGATGGGCCTGATGCCCACTGACAGCACACACAGAAGGGAGACCCAGAAAGGGGAGGAGGCCATGGGAAGATGGAGGCTGACAGTGGATGCAACCACAAGCCAAGGAGTGCCGGAAGCCGATGAGGCAAGCAAGGATTCTCCCTAAGTCTTTGAAAAGATCATGGCCTGTGGACACCTTGACTTAAAATTTCTGACCTCTCCAGAGTTATAAAAAATGGGTTTCTGTTGTGTTAAGCCACCCAGTTTGTTGCAGTTTGATATGGCAACCTTAAGAAAAATAATACAGGGTGCTCCTTGACTGAGTTATCCTCAGTATGGATGAGCAAAAGCATGAGAGGCAACAGCTGTGAGCAATGAGTGCCTCACCAGGTCTTTCTGGCACAGCTTTGGCATGAACTAGCTCTGTGACTGTGTATATTATTGACTTTGACTCTTCTCCCCATCCCAGTGACCTCATATGTAAAAGGGGAAAATGGGTTAAATGAGATTAAATGTAATCCATCTAAAACTCCATTGAAGATAGCCAGTAGATATGAGCTCTCACTGTTACTATTTGGTAAAGGAAAGATGAAAATTTTTTCTAACAAAAAAAAAAAATCATGACAGAAACCACCCTCATGATAGAAAAGTCTGTGAAGTATGCATGCTGTCTAGATTAAGATGACACATGCTTTTTTGACTGGGCTCTGTCCTGTGTGATATTAGATGACAACAAATGATGCTCAGATGGCTCTCAGAGTAGAATGATGGGTCCAAACAAATATACCTATGTTGTGTAAAATAACACACTCTGGGTCTCTCTTCTGTGTGTCCTTACAAGGACAGCTGTCAATTCTACCAGCACAGCCATACCTGAGATCCAACTAAGAGTGGTCTACCTGTGAAGGAAAAGGGACATAAACAGAAATATGCAACTACACCACAGCAAGAAATAACCAAAAGCCCAATGTGGCTACCAAATATAAGTAAAGAAAAAAACCAAGTTGAGGTTGAATTTATGCAAATGCACACCCAGGTTCAGTTAGGTTACACTCCCCTTGGCCTCTTCCTGATCGCCCATATTCTGATCAGTATAGCAGGGACACCAACACCAAACACGTCCAAAGCACAGTGACCAGGGCTGTATTCTCGAAAGGTCAAAGGTCATTCTCTAATGAATGACTTAAAGGAATTGGAAGTGCTGAATCTGGAAAAGATTGAGCAATTGTAACAGGATCGTTATCAAGAGCTGGTCAGAAGAATCAAGCTAAACTAGAACTTGAAGGGGGGAATATTTTATAGTCATATATGGTACAGAAAGAGGATGTGTGGTCCACAGTGTGCTGGGGGAGGGGACTGGGGGTTGTATCCTCATTTAACATACAGTACCCCAAGTGTCTTTCTTGGCACTGGTTTCTACATGCAGGGCGTTGGGACAGTGTTTGTGACCCAGAGGACCAAATGCAGATCACTCTTGCACCTGCGGAGAACACTGCTATACAGGACAAGGAGGCTGGAGCAGATGACTGCGTGTTTTCATCTAACACCGGGGTTCTCAGATTCAAAGAAGTACAACAGGATGTGACTGATCCCCCACCCCCGTGCCAATGGCAGGCTCATCATGCTCAGAAAGATAAAGATCAGATTCTGAGACTGAAGAGGAATAAAGCCTGTCACCTCTGCTCTTAGCTAAGATACAGCTCAGTGTCTGTGTCAGTCTCTGGCTTCCAGACTGCCCATGGCCTAGACAGTACTTAAAGGCAAAGAAGGAAAGCCCTCTTCTGAGCAGGTCAGCAGATGAAGTAGTCTGACTTTACTTTTCACTTGTCACACCTTTGCCACTTCTGGGCACAAATGATCTGTGTTGTGCTTTTCCAATGTCTATAGCGTAGAGAAGGAGGTGGAAAAGATGGAGTTACCTTTGTTCCACTCAGAGCTGTTCCATTCAGCAGCTCTTAACAGAAGAAACACAGGTAACTATGTCTAAGCACAACTGACATTGTTAGGTGACATTCAAAATGTGTTATTTTAGCCAGGCCTGGTAGTACATGTCTGTAATCCCAGCTACTCAGGAGGTGGAGGTAGGAGAACTGTGGTCTGAAGCCAGCCTGCATAAAAGCTCGAGATCCTATCTGAAAAAGAAACTAAAGCATCGGCGCATGACTTAACTGGTAGAGCATTTGCCTAGCAAGCATGAGGCCCTGAGTTCAATCTCCAGTACTGCAAAAAAGGAGGGTGGAGGGAGGTATTTTGTCACTGCATGGATGAAACTAAAAATTCTATAGCAAGAAGAAAGAAATGAACAGATATTTCAAGCCCTACCAACTGCGTCATTTATTTTTGGTCAGCGTAGTGGGTTGAGTAAAATTATGTCCAATCTGAATGTAAGTGACATTCTTTAGCAATAAGCTCAGGCATATACTGCAGAGATGATGAAAATAATACAGTAATTACAATTAGAATATTGAAAGAATAGTTAAGTCAAAATGAACTCATGTTCATCTAGAGTGAGTGCTGAACCAAGACTGGTTCTTAGAAGGCCATGCAAAGACACAGAAGGACACACAGGCAAGGGGCAGGTGACAACAGAGGCAAAGACTAGACTGGTAACAGCTATAAGCCAAAGAAGGCCACTGATGGCCGGCAGCTACCAGAACTAGGAAGGGTCATGGGACAGCTTCTTCTCTGAGAGGCCTTTAAAGAATGGATCCTGCCCATATTTTGACTTAAGGTTTCTCTTGCAGCCTCCTGTGCTATAACAGGAGAAATTTCTATGCCTTTAAGCCACTCAATTCACAGCACTGTTTTATGGTAGCCCTAACAGAGTGAGCAGATCCAGCCTTGCCTTGGCATCACTTGGGAGGTTCAGTCTAGGACTCCCCGCTCAGGGTTTAACATCCACAGCTAGAAAACGGTATAGCATTTGCAGCCAGCCTACACACCCTCCTGTATGCTTTAAATCATCTCTGGATTCTTATAACAGTTGATGCAATGTAAATACTACGCAAAAAGTTGTGTTGTTTAGGGAATAATGATAAGAAAAAAAGGCCTGGATATGTTCAGTATAGCTAAAACTCATCTTTTTTTCCCCCAAAGATTTTCAATCTATAGTTAGCTGAACTACAGAAGTGACAGTAATAGAATAAGGATAGAGAACTGAAGTGAAGAGTAGCCCAAATGCCTTGTGAGCCTTTTGGCGGCAGGAAAACTGGATCTTGAGTTCCCAGGCTCTCAACTTCCACAAAGATTCCCCAGGAATGAAAGCAACAGGATGTGGGCTTCAAGGAGCTTCATCGCTCAGGCAATGGCATTTGGCAAGTAACAACCAAAGCCCAGAAAGGTCCTCTCATATGTCCTTCCAAAACTTCCACAGCCTCCTAGAGGTGGAGAACAACAACCACTAATGATTTGAATGGAACTTCCCAGCAGCCCCATGGAAATTCCAAGAATATGACATTGCTTGCCCATATGAGCTAATGGAGTGACATCCATATTCCTTTGGCCGGTTTAAGGCAACAACGTTCAAATACTCTTTCCAGGTGAACCCTCTGGGCCTATCTTTCTTCTCTTATCAACTGGAGAAACCCAAAAGCGGAGTTAAGAGTGATCCATAAGACAGACCTCCAAAGACTTACCTGTCTTGGAAGCTAAGCCAATTTCCTTCACATTGTTCACATAGAGCCTTCGAACACCATCTTCTTCCACAGAAGAAAGAGAAAACCCTACAAAACACAAAGACAGAATGGCAGGGCTCACACTTTCTGAATGTTCAGCAAAGAGCAGGAAGTACCTGCCGTGAGCTAGGTATGTTTAATGTTTTGGGTTTTTTGGAGTGATTATTTTTTTCCTCCTTCATTACGGTTTGACAAAGCAGAAAAATGTTATTTTTAGGTCACTCTAAAAGAAGTTGCTACTTGTAAAAATAAATATCTCTAGGTATATCAATCTTCACACAACTTACCTATCAACGCAAATGTAAGGAAATTATTTTGTGTCACCTTGCTTCCTGTCAAATGTCATCATTTTGCCTTTTCCATCCACTTTTTTCATCAAATCTATGTCCTAGGATATATTACAATTGTGTGCTACAGTATGGACACTGATTTAATTTAAAAACCTTTCACAAATAGGAATAAGTAGCAACTCACTTTATAAATCCCAGTTGATATTGAAACTGATTCAACTTATTTCACACTCTACTAAGGATTGTAAGACAAAGACTAATCAATTCTGGCCTTTATTGTTTCCCAGTAAAGAAGACAGAGCAAGGCCCAGACATTCTAAGTAGTTCAGAGATCCTGAAGACACCTGATCCTCTGATTATAAACCCTGGGCACTTTTGTTTGTAAACAGGCTCCTAGAAAACTCTTTTCTATTAAATCCATAGAGCCTAATACCTACATCCCAGTAGGAAAAGTTTCCTGGCAGATATTTCTTAAAGAGACACAGGAACAAATATAATTGGAAGGTTTTAGCTCTGGGAGAAAAAGAGCCACACACTATAGAGACCTGTCTAAATGCTGAGATCAGAAGAGATAGTGGTTAAAAACAAAAAACCCAGCAAACAACAAACAGAAAAATTCACTACAAGGCTACGTGCCAGGGAGTCAGGGAGATTTTTCAGGCCATGTCAAAATGAGCCTGTGGTTTTCTGTTTAGCTCATAACACCAGGAAATGGATACATCCTCAAGGCAGAACTGCCAATGGCCACTGCCTACTCCCCCATACACCCTAACTCCCTCAGACAGAGAACAGCTTGGGACGGCCCTGAGGACTTTCCAAAGTTTTCATTTGATTCTTGTTGGGTTTTTAATAATTCCATTCTTAAAGAAACTTGTAGCTTTCAGATTAAGTTTCAAGATGCCTACAGAAATATTTTTATTCATGAATCCTTTGAGTGATGACATCAGCCTTAACACAGTTGTATTCATTTGCATTTCAGAGTAAAAGGCTGTGTTATGGGGAAAAATGGATAGGATTTATCAAAATATAGGCATTTCCTTTCTAAACACTATTATTATATAAAATCTTAATATCTATATATATTTTAAAATTACTATCCTGGTGGGATATGCCAAGGGACCAGCCTGTTTAACTGGAGGACAGCAAGAGAGACAATAGGTTGACAATAGCCACTGCAAGTCAACTTAAGCCAAAGTGAATGGAGATGGTTCAGGTATGTACCTATTCTATTCCTTCTTTTCTGAGTCTTCTATTTAATAATGAAGAAGTTAAAGTCAAGAAATGAGGACTGCAATTGACTATGAAATTTTGTACCATGGAACTGGGTATAAAGTATGAAACTGAGAAACAGACCAGACTTCTCAAGATGGTGAGGGAATCTGTGACTGGAAAGAAGGTAGAATAAAGGACAATGGACACATCCTCTGTTCTGAGACTCACTCAAGAAAGCTAAAGAATTTACAAATGTCAGCAGCACTTTGCTCTGTCCTGGACCCCATCCTGAAGGACACCTGTCTAAGACAGGCCTATAGGAGTTCCTTTCCATGTTTCACACCTATTAAGGCTGAAGTCACTCAAATGGTTCACGTATAAAAATATTCCTGTAGGCATCTTGAAACTTAATCTGAAAACTACAAGTTTCTTTAAGAATGGGAATTGTTAGAGAAAAGAAAAACCCAAGAACAATCAAATGAAGCTTGCCCACACTTCAGTGCCTAACACATACACAGCTATGGGGTAACCATCTCCCACCTTGCCAAATATAAAGAGAACAGAGTATTTCCTACAGCTAGTTTGCTTTGAGGTGAAGAACACATTGATCTTAATAGCAAATCAGCAACTCCAATCTCTTCCTCCTTATTAAAATGTACAGCAATACTTAATTCTCAGTGAACAGCTCTAACGCAGTTCAAAATGACTGCCAACAGGGGATATAAGGAGATCATGCTACAAAAACCAGACTCCACCAACCACAAGGCTGTGGGTTGTGAAAACTGGAAGGCAGCATGCAGGTCACCTGAATAATGATGTGGAGAAGGAAGGAAGTGAAGACAGTGAAGCAACTGAGAAGTCCAATTCACATGACAAATGACAGGAGGATCCCTCGTACTGTTTGTCACAACGTGAAAAACAATAGAGAAGTACTCAAAACAACAGTCCAAGAGACGAGGACTATTAGATCACAGGACAAATGAGACATCTACGTTATAAGGAAGACACACACCTAGAAAAAGAATGCTGTGATGCTCAAGGAGTGCACACTCCCACTTGGAGGAAGCCTGAGAACCAGGCTTCTTCTGAGCATCATATAACCCAATGGGCTCCTTTCAACAGTAAGGGCTGAGAGCCGCCTAATGGCTGAAGTGAAGACAGGAGGGACAGAGAGAAATTAACCAAGTTCACTCCTTAAATTTGTTCAGGCCGTCAGATTGTTAGATTGTTTTCCTCCCTGAAGGATGCTAACATAGATAGCAGCATTTGGTGTGCGTTGTAAGATTTGTGTGTGGGGGGGGGGGGGGGGTGCTGGATGTGCTAGGTATTAATAGTAGCTTTTCCATACACTGTGCTCAATATATGAAGGGAGGCCACCCTTGGCAAGCCATTAGCACTGGATGTGTACAGGCTGATTTAGACTCCTTAGCAGCGCTGGAGCCAGAGCTATCTCAGTCAGCATGTGCATTATTGGACAGTGTGTGCCAGCATGAACCCTGGCACTAAGACTGGTTTCACTGAGGTCATTGGTCATGCACAGCAGGGCTCTCCAAAGTGAGGTTCAGGAACTACTGCTGTTTGGGAGGACTTGAGACTAAGCCCAGAAATCTCTCAACAGCAACCTGTCATTGCCGTGACCTCCAAGCATGGGACTTCAAATTGCACAAAAGTGGCGATGTTTACGACAAAATGGACACTAAAACAAAATTGAACACCTGCTTCTTTATGTTGGCCAGTGTGAGAAACTGATGCCTGGTGCCCCATAACACTCTCAGTGTGGGAAAGTTCTTCTGGAAGAAATTTGGTCATTTATTAATTTGGTAGTACTGGGATTTGGCTCAGAGCTTTGCGCTTGCTAGGCAGGCATCCTACCACTTGAGCCACTCCACCAGCCCAATTCAGTCACTTTAACTTAAAGTATAAAAAGTGTGCAAAGTACACATGCAACCCCACTGCAACCCATGGTTTTTACTTTCTGTGGCTTCAGTGGCCCACAGTCCATTTTTATTACATTCTATTGTTATAACTGTTTATTAGCTATTGTTGTAAATCTCTGGATGTGCCTAACTTGTAAATTAAACTTTATCATAGGTATGTATGTGTTTAAAAAAAAAAAGCGTACAGAGTTTGGTACTACCTGCAATACATCTCCTAAGGATATACTGTGGTGTATGTCAAGTTCCTATTTCTGAGTCCCCAAATCACTCAATCTTAGAATAAGAGCCCAAGACCTTTGAAATTCAGCTTTCTCTTGATCCTTGGTACTTTACCTTTCCTCTTCAGAAACTAAGTAAACTAAAGAGGAAAAGAATAATCTTGCCAGGTGTGGTGCTCATGCCTGTCATCCTAGCTACTCAGGAGGCGATGACTGGTAGACTGCATTTTGAGACCAATCAGTGCAAAAAATTAGCAATAACTCATCTCAACAAACAAGGCAGGCATGGTGGTGTGCCCCTGTGATCGCACCTATGGGGTAACCACAGGCAGGAAGAAGGATTGTGGTCCCAGGTCAGCCCCAGGCAAAAACACAAGACACTAGCCAAAAAAACAACTAAAGCAAAAAAGGACTGGAGTTGTGACTCAAGTGGTAGAGCACCTGCCAAGCAAAAGAAAGGCCCTGAGTTCAAACCCCACTACTGCCAAAAATAAAAATAAAAAAATAATGTTCACAAAGTATCTCAATTGGAGAACCAAGATACCACTGCCACCAGTGATGGCTTTAATAACTGAGGTCACACTTCTGCATAATAAGCCTGTTGTAAACATTGATTCTTTGCCATCAAAAACATCCTCCAGGCTTTCTGACACTTCAGTTCTAGGTCAAGCAGTAAAGAGCTTGTGTTCGGGCCTTCAAAATTTAATCCTAGCTACTTGGGAGGCTGAGATTGGAAGGACAATGGTTTGAGGTCAGCCTGGGTACAGAGTTCAGGAGACCCCCATCTCCAAACTAGCCAGAGCACAATGGACTGGAGATGTGGCTCAAGCGGAAGAAAACCCAAGCCCAAAGCCCTGAGTTCAAACCCCAGTCCCACCAGAAAAAAATAAGTAGCTTCTCTTTCTAGGCCAAAATACTGAGCTGAGGATGCTGAAATGAGCAGTGTTGGCCTACTGGAGAAAGTGGAGAAGGAATGTAATATTCTACTGCTCAGTGAAGGGTTGGAAGATTTTCAAATGGTATAAACTTAATTGCCTGATTAGGGAGAAATCTTAAGTGCACATACACAGTGGTCTTCCTGTCATTTCACCAGGAGCTTCGATCTCCTTCTGGCACGTAGTAGGATCACACTGTCTGACCCCATAGAGGCAGATGAGGTCGTATGAGATTTGCTTTTCCCAGTGCTTGACTGAGTAAGTCAACACCTGCATCATCACTTCCTCTCTCTGCCCTCTGCAAAGTCACAGTCATGTTCTAGGTTGTAGCTGTTCCAGGCCTGAGTGCTGAAGGGAGGGCAGCAGGAAAGGTCCCAGGCAAGCCACAAGGGATGTATGGTGAACATGAGGAAGAAATTTCATTTGCAGCCACTGGGCTTTGGTGACTGTTGTTACCTCAGCTAACCTTGCCTCTCCTGACTGCTACAGTACAGTGTGGATTTCTCCACTGATTTTACTCAGGCGCCAATTCTTATTATTCAAGCCACCTAGCATAATGTTAATTAAAGATGATTAGTCTTAAAAATGGAAAGGGTTACATATTTAACCACACCAGAATGTGGACAGTCCATCGACAAGCACTGACATGGCAGGCCTGACCACAGTTCTTTGAAAGACCTGTTTATAAGTTTGATCCTTAGTTGGCATCTGGGATCTTGCATTTGAATTGGGGGTGAAGGTGGGGATCTGAACACTGTCATGTGATTTCTTGTGCCTAGATTATTTGTACAAACAATATGATGTATGGGAAACACCTGCTTTCCTCCTGGGAGTCTAGAATTTGGGGTGAGTGCTAGGCAGAGGGCTGTAGGCACTGAGTGTCTCTCCCCAGGGGCAGTGTTTACCATGTGCGGTCACAATAAACATCAGGGGAGTTAACCCCATCCACATGACCCCTATCTTGGCCACTCACACCTGTTTTCCCCAGATTGCTTCTCTACCTTTCCCATTGTCAGTTTCACTTTGTGTTACTTCGCTGTGGTAAGTTATTGTCATGAGCACCACTGTATACCGAGTCTTCTTGGTGAATCAGCAAACTGAGTGGTGGTCTTGGGGACCCTTACCCAGCACCAAAAGAAATCCGTTTAACACTACTGTGAGGAAAGGGAGGGTGGTGTCTGTGTTTGTGGGAGATGTGAATGGGTAATTCCTTCATGTGGAAGGAACACCACACAATAAAACAGTCTATTCCCATTATAGTTACCTCCTTATGACAGTAGACAAAAAATGGTTAAAGTGAAGAAATGGAAAGGCCCAAGTCTTCATGGTACCCAGGGTGGATATCTCTTTTGTCCTAGCTCTGGTTCTCCACAGCGCAGGAGCTAGATGTGCTGTTTTAAACAGGCCCAAAGGCTTTTTACTGAACTGTAAATAAGTGCACTTTTACACAGGAAATGCTTAGCTGGAAACACAAACACCAAAGATCAAAGACAAATAAACCTACCGTAATTATCAGCAGCTGTATCTGATTTCTCAATGAGGATGTTCTGAGTGACTTTGGGACAAATCTCAATTTCTTTATACAGCTGAAAATTACAAAGAAGGACTGCATTATAAAGAAGGTCTTAGGAATGGTTATTCTTTCGTAGACATTTTTTCATGACTGATACTTGAACACAAATTCTTATCACATAGTCTTTTAGTGAAAGGAATCTATTCACATTCCCAACTCAGCTACTGCTTGGCATCTAGGTAATCGCTGGGCATTTTCTTTCTCACTCTGAGAAAGAATATTAGAGTAATTAAAATCTCTAGGACTGGGGGTGGGTGGGGTGAGGAGAAGGTAAGGTGCTTATCCACAGTGAGGAACGTGGCCTGAGATTCATGGCAAAAGGAGAAATCTCTGCGTTTCCATTCTTCACACACTAGCTTTACTCATAAATTTCACAGTAGTACAAATAGGTAGAGACGAATGATAACACTAAAACAAATTATGTTGATCAGCAATAGTCCCTTTTAGCCACTGAACTATACCAAAATTAGCTTTAAAAAATTAATTTTGCAAATTAGTCAACAGTCTGGAAGCCCAAGAAAGCCTTTTATATAAAGGAGAAAAGAAAAATGTATAGTTCACACATCAGAAATGATGCTTCCTGACTGGCATGGTGGTGCATGCCTATAAAAATACTAATAATTCAGGAGGCTGAGGCAAGAGAATTGTGAGTTCAAAGCTAGCCTGGACTACATAGTAAGACCCTGTCTAAAAAAAACCCAGGGCTGGGAGGTAAAGCTCAGTGGTAGAGAGCTTGATTCATGCATGTAGAGCCCTGGGTTCATTCCCTAGCACCTCAAAAAAAAAAGTTGTCTTTTAAATTAATTTCATTACCACTTTTTTTCCTATATATGGATCAATCCTAATCACAATAAAAACGTAGGAAGTTCCAACTATGTGTCATTGCCTCTCATACTAACTATGAGACAATTACAAATCATTTTATAAGGCTGGAGAATAAGTACTTTAATAAATTCATAAAGCCAGGACGGGCAGGGCTGTGATTTGAACCCAGGTCTTGCTGGCTCCCAGGCTGAACTTCTTTCCACTCCACTACGATGCCTTCCAGACCAAGTCCTGATGGAACAGGGGGAATGAAGGGGGAATGAAAGAAGTTGACCTTCTTATATATGTAAGCCAAAAGCTGAAATCCAAAACTGAACACAAAAACCTGAAACCAAATGTATCAAAGGCTTATATGGAATTTAAAAACTGTTATCTAATCTTGAAATGAAAATAAATTTTGAGTCACAGTATATAACAGAAAATTTATACTGTAGCACTAAAATGAGGTCCTGGTGATTAGCTAACCTTGCCCTCATCTCTGACCTCACCGCCATTCCTCCAAGATCATTTCATTAGGCAAGAATACCAGTTGCTTTCTCTTTGCTTGCTCTGGCCATGTGAGAGGTGAGATTAACTCGGGGACCTGGAAAAATCAGCAATATCAGGGTGCTGGGTAGGAACTTTGACAGCACAGCCAGAACTCACTTGGACATCCTGCTTTCATTCTTCTTCTACCACATGCAGTGTGTTAGGGGCATAACTGATGTGGTTTCATTTGTATACATCAGGTGTGTTTCACAAAAATACATTCCCAAATTAGAAGAAACTAGTTACACTGATTTTTAGTTCAGAAAATATAGCTACCCAAAGTATAAATATCAGTCTTTTAAATAAAGTTCACAATGCACTTCATAACAACACACTCAAGAAACACTACTCACCACTGTTCAACTTAGTTTATGCTTTAGCTTGAATTTTTTTAGACATCTTTGAGAGCCAAAGCGTTCCCCCAGGTGGCAGTACATAGCTGTTCTAATATCTCTGCCAAGATCTGGTGGGAATACAGCTTTATGAACAATCTTCCCTGGTCTTTCAGAACTAATTTCTACTTTTCCTTGGAATTGGTGTGAAAGTCTTCGTGTCTTTTACTGGTCTCAGATGATAACCTGGTACCAGATACACAGGGGATCCTCCCACATGTTCTTTCTTACTCTGGTTAAGACTAAAGCCAGGTTTACCAAAAAGCTCTAGTAAAATAAATGAAATTTTAAGAATAGTCTGTGCTTTACAATATATTTTCAATGAAATCAGAGTATCCATGGGCAGCTATTTTGAACTTCAGTCATTTTATACATAAACACCTTGTCACAACACTTCCTTTATTTAATTAAATCAATGATATTGCACGCTTTTCCCTATTTTCCAAAAACTGGGTGAGAAGATCACCAGATTTTATGAAACATGGGCACCTGAACTCTAACAAACTTATGAACTTGGGTTCAACCCAAGTTCCTGTGGAGCCCCAACCCAAGCCAACATTACCTCTTGTCTCAACTACGGCTTCCTAACCTCCTGTGAGTTTTGCCTGTTCTAGCGTGCTGTGGTCCACTTAAAGACTCTTATAACAAAGTGGAATACAGCCACGCTAGGTTCTGCGGGGTATGTTCCAGGACCTCCTCAACTCCAGAATAGCAACATCCATGCAGGCTGAAGACCCTTATGTAAAATGACACAGTACTTCCTTAGATCCTATGTACATCCTCCCGAATACCTTAAATCATCCTAGATTATTTTTAATACCCATTACAATGTAAATTCTGCATTATATTGGGTTATGTAGGGACTAATGTATATTAAAAAAAAAAAGTCTATACCTGTTTAGTATAGATGTAATCATCCGAGGCTTAACTACATAGTCCAGGCCGGCAACAATGTAGTTTTTTGGGTTTTCTTTTCCAAATTATTTGAAGCTACCAATTGGTTGGCTTCACTGATACAGAAGACTTGGAAGACTTCTGGATAAGTAAGAGCTGTAATGTCCTTGCTCTCCTAGGGTCTGCCTTCTGACTTAGGGCCCTAGACAGCCTGCCCTAATTCCTTCCTCCAGGATCCCACCTTTCTTTCTTTCTTTCTTTCCTTTCCTTCCTTCCCTCCCTCGTTTTTTTCTTTTCTTTTCATTACTAAGGGCCTCAAGATCTCTAGGCTTTGCCTAGAAAGCACTCTACATCTGAGCCATCCCCTCGCTTTCATTTTGCTTTTCAGAAAGGGTCTAGTGCTAACTTTAGCCTAGCTGGCCTTTGATCCTCTTACATCTGCCTCCTGAGTAACTGGGATTACAGGTGTGCACCATCATGCACAGGCAGCATCTCACCTTTCTTACCCACCCCATTCACCCTCCTCAGATGCCAGAAGAGAAGAGGAAAAGCCAGTACTGTTCCCACGCCTAAGACACTTTTCTGTAAAACACCTGTAAGACTCAGGCCTCATTTTACTCACCTCCCTGTTTCCCTGTTTCAACATCACATCTGACCTTTTAGCTGCCTCATCTCTCTCTATCCATCTGCCCTTATTAGTTGTTAATTAATTGTTTTTCCAGGCTTCGAACATCCTGACATTGACATGTTTTTATATCCATCTCTGCAAACCTGAATAGAGGTTCTATCAGGAGATAGGATTTTTTTTTTTGGTTTACCCTTTGTGTCTAGAATAGTAAGAATTATGCCAGGCATACAAATGCTAAGTAAATATTTGCTAGATGAATGAATAAATAAATTGATCAGTGTTTCTATAAACTTTTTATTCCCACTTGTCACTTTAGAAAAACAGATTTCGTGTGGGTTTTTGAAAAGTTAGGATCTCCAGAGACTACAACCACGTTCATTACCATTCCCTGGTTTGGACTCTAACACCAATTAACCACAGAAAAAATAGCCAGACAAGGGTTGCTTATATTAACATAACCAGCAAAGCAAGTAAACAGATAGCTAGGAATTCCTGCTACTCACAAGTCAGGAAAAGGATATCCCCTCCTTTCATAGAGCACAGACACTGGGCTTTTCTTCCATCAGAGAAAGAACACATCAGCTACTCATAAATGTAGGCTTCTGAAGTCAGGCGCCAGTGGCTCACACTGTAATCCTAACTACTTGGGAGGCTGAGATCAGGAAAGTCATGGTTCAAGGCCAGCCCAGGCAAATAGTCTGAAATCTCATCTCCAAAATAACCAGACAAAATGGACTGGAGGTATGGCTCAAGTGGTACAGCGCCTGTTTTGCAAGTTCAAAGACCTGAGTTCAAACCCCAATCTTCCCCCCAAAATGTAGCCTTCAGTATCAATTCTTATTAAATGATGACTTAAAGTAGACTCATCAGGCCTAGGAGTGTGGCTCAAGTGACAGAGTGCTTGTCTAGCAAGTGTGAGGCCCTGAGTGCCAACAAAAAAAAAAAAAAAAAAAAGAAAGAAAAAAACCCAAAATGAAATGGACTCATCATTTTGGTCCTCTTCTATTGGTGTTACAAAAGCACACCCATTGTTATATTTCCTCTAAGAGACCTGAGGTAACCTTTAGGATGACAGAAATGTTCCAAACCTTAATTATGGTGGTGGAAGCATGACTACATACATTTGTCAAAACACATCCAATTGTGTGCTGGTGATAATTTTATAATATGTAAAGCATACCTCAATAAAGCTGGCTTACGACATCATTTCCTACTGATTGTTAAATCGTGCTTCCCTTTCCTAAAAGAGAACCTTTGGGTTTAAGTTTTCATTTCCACTCTCTGTGGTGAAACCTTGAGTGAAGTCACCCTCTGTCACTCCCATATCCAAGGCAAGCAGCACTGTGGCCTCCAGAGGAATGAGTAAGTACAGAGCAAGCAGAGAGAACTCCAAAAGACAGAGGCGCCTTGCTCCCAAAATCTTTCCTTATTGAAACTGGAAATGCCCCATTTGGCTACTGGAAAGGAAACTCATCACTGGTTTACTGCTATAACTGTTAACATCTGTGACATTGCTCATGATTTCCAATTTTTGTAAAATCTTAGAAGTTACATATCATCATCCCACTATTCTACCTATTCCACATAATTCATATGCAATACGAACACTATTGAAAGCCAGGTCTGGTTCAAAACCCAAGTCCCATAAGGTGTTGAAATTCCAACACCTGCAAATGTCCCCAAATCTATATAATTACAATTCCAACAGGAAGGTTTTTGCACCCACAAGATTTAGTTCATTGGTTTCAATATGGATGTAGAAGTTACACAAAATTGGAGTTAGAGATTTTATTCTGACAAAAACCAGTTGCTCTTTAAGTCACCAGCATAAAATAAAAGACTGTCAATGCTGCAAGCAGAGCTAGTAACAATGATTAGAATCCTATCTGAGAGTTAGCTCCTGATTCCAGAACTTCACAGTTACATAGCACTGCTCCTTGCAGAAACAGAGGTGGCATTTTCCACTCTGGAAATACTGTGGTAAGTTAAGACCATCTTCTCCAACTTTAGACCTCCAAATGAAGCTTGTTTATTTTAGAAGTTGCTCTACTTCACCAACTACAATTAACACAGGTACATACATAATTTGAAAATAATCTCCTACAGAATGTACTTAGACAACAGTCATAAACATTACCAGCTCATAAATGTCCTCTTCAGGCTGTGGAACGTAGAACTGCATTTTGTTTTCTATTAGAAATTTCAGACGTAGGTAATGAGCAGAATAATCCAGTTGATGTGTCTAGGACAAAAAAGAAAATGTCTATTCAATAGTAAATAAGAGTGATTAGTTCCCCACTGCCATGTTACCATGTCTTCCCAAGAGCAAGAGTGTTTGTCACGGGGAGAGGGATGCAAGGTTTCTATGCTTCTTAAAAGGTTCATGTACTAAACTCAGACACTGAACTCATGAATAAAATTCCATGAGTATCACATGGTTCAGTGAGAACTACGGAGTCACATCCTCACTTATTTGACTTGCTGTGTTCTTTAACACTGGTTTTTCAACAGAAAAAAGAAACTCTTAAACGTAACATTATACATACACAGGTGAATAAAGAACAGTGACATGAAAAGAAAAGTATTTGCAATGACAGAAAAGGCTGTGTCCGAGCAAAGCTGTTTTCTTAAGCACTTAGGCACTCTGGACAGTTAACGGTTCATTTGCAAGTGAGTCAGTGTGTAGACAAGGCATTTGGACTTCAGTCTGATTTATGGACTCCAGAATGATACTCCCTGAGAGGCAGTGCGACAGGCTTGGGTCCAACTTTGGAAGAGCACTGAATGACTTGTACAAGGAAAGCAATTCTAAAATAGTTAGGGATTGACATCTCCAAGGCTTCTCTTGGTCTAGAACAAGTCAATGTATTTAAGTCTAGCTAAAAAGTCATCCTTGAATTAATTTTGATAAAAAAGGCAATAGTGATAACATGGTTTTAGAAATGGTTCTCAACATACAGTCAAGAAAATAGAGAAGAAAAATATAAAGCTCTTCAGAAGTTACAAGAAAACATATTGTAAAGAGAGAAAATATTTACAATGAGTAATTTTTAAAATATACTTATCTTTTAAGATGTATCCTAAAGCACTAAGATACGTGAAAGCATCTGTGGAATTTGCTTCCAAAATTATGATGACTTGAGGGTGGAGCGAGCAAATGAACTGATGACACTTATGTCAGTAATGACAGATTCCAGGTAATGGACACATGGGAGTTTACTACACTGTTCTAAGTTTTTCATAAATATATGAACTTTTCATACTCAAAGCTAGACTGATGAGAATTTTTTCAACGCAAATGAAATTATTATTTTTACTGGTTGTACAGTTATCCCATTTACCCTACCCTCTTATATACTTATATATAAAGTTACATAAATATATTTATGTAAAATATAAAAGAAAAGAATATATGTAACTTTATAAGTGTTCCAAATACCCTATGAGGCATTGAAAATATAGACATTTATAAGCGATAAATGTGGTTCTCTGGAGTGTGTGTGGCGTGAAGAAGGGGTATACAGAAAACACAAGGTGGAGAAGTGGTGCTTTAATTTTTTTAATAAATGCATCCAAGCAGGACAGACATGTTGTGTTACTGCAAAAGCACATTTCCAGAAAGTAGGAATCAGTTCCTTCTGAAGCCTTGTGGAATGATAAAGAAGTTTTCTATCAATGATTCTTGGGAACCCCCAATCTGTATCCTATTTCTAAGTAATGTGATAGTTATTGAAGCTTCTGTGTGGCACACAGACGCCATTCTCTTAGCACATTCTCGGGCACCTGGCTTCCCTCCTCTTTGCTATCTGAGGCTAAAATGCTACTGTCTGACAGACCCAGGACTGTTGATCTCAAAGATTATAAGGGCAAATGGGTGAACCCAGGGAAATATCAAACAAGGTCATTTTTAAGAGTGCAACCTATTGCTTGTCAGGCAGGCAGCAAGAAAAACAGCAACAACAAAAAATATTTAGGGTGGCAGGATGAACAAGAAAAGGCTCCTGTGAGGTCACTGGGGTTGCAAATGCTTCTCTTCTACTTAGGTCCTCACTGAAATCTTTAATTAGAAGCAAGAACTTTGGTCTGCCATCTGTTCCCCACTGAGGCAGAAAGGAAAGGGAAATGCAACTTCATGGGGTCTTAATAACAGGAGAAAATCAGCTTGGAAACCTTACTGTCATCATTAATAAGCGCCTCATGGACACTCCAAATGGGACTGCCACTTCCACAGACAGGCTCTGAGAAATCAGACCCCGATAGTAACCTCACCTAAGAAGATTCTAGTAATGGAAACCAGAAAGAGACAGAGACAAAGACAGGGAAAGAAAGCTAGAGAATGAGAGACATACAGAGAGAGGAACAGACAGACAGACAGACACAGACACAAAGAAAGAGAGAGAGAGAGAGCTCACTGCCTGATACCCAGGAGCTTGAGGTGGCCCCCATGCAGACTGTAGATCCTCAACATCCCTAAAAACGCTGCTGGTATTTCTGCACTTTTACAAGGCAGGATAAACACCTGTGGGGATAGCTCTCTTAAGCTGTTCAATACTGTGCAGAAAACGAAAAGTGACAAATAGAAGAGTGGGAATAAGGATGATTCTTGCCACATCCATCCATTATAGTTTCCAAACATCCATCCATCCATTACAGTTTCCAAACATCTTTAAATGACAATAATGTCTTGATAACTTGAAAACATAAAAATAGGCATATGCAACAAACATAAAAATTATGAGGCCAAGTATAGTGATGCATGCTTGTAAAGCCAGTGCTTGGTAGGCTGAGGCAGGAGGATTGTGAGTCAAGATGGATACTTTTGGCTAGCTAAAAAATGAATTATATACACACACACATTCTTAGTTTGCTCAATAAGCAGTTATTCAGAAAACAGCACATTAGATAAATATTCCTGTGTGCCTTCTCATTTTGGTAAAAGTTTCTGAACTGTGGACCCTCACAGTTATGGCTGATCTAAGAAAAAGAGCAAATCATAATGAACTAATGAGATGAGAACATCAGACCCTCAAAAAGAATTTTATATTCCTCAATATTAAAACAGGTTCACAATACAATTTTGTGCAAAAGGAGTTCCAGTGTTAGTGGGTATTTTACAATAGTGATTTTAAATTTGGGACCTATTTTAGACTTGGAAAACTTTCAAGAGAAAGTTGTCTAACAAGAGAAATTCAGTTAGAAAAAAAATTTAAATGGTACAAATTAGTTTTCCAGTATAATTTTATTCAAGTAATTCAGACAGCAATTGATTCATTTTGGGGCAAGGCAGCTGCAAATTATATCATAAAATAACTAGTACCATAGGGGAGTTTTTAGTTTAGTTGGCACAATGTTTTAAAATTAGCATTTTACTACAAAATTATTTCAATGGATAAAGTAGCAAATACAATTAGATCTTTTTAATAAATAGTTTAAGTTGCTAAAATGCTAAGAATTTTTTGTCACAGGTCTTCCAATCCATGTTTTGCTTTTGCATTTCTCTTAATTTCTGTCAAACATGTCTGAGAAAACACACAAACATGCAGTTACACATGGAGAAGTGCACGCACACATACGAGCACACAAAGTGCTATGCAGACTTTCCAAAGCCATTTCCCTCAATTTTTAAATGCAATTGGATCTCCAAAGCCGCAAATCAACACAGTGAAAGCAAGAACTAAAACCAACCCCATGGTCACACGTGAATAATATGAGCAAATAGGAATGAATGAATGGGTTTGCAGTTATTTTATAATTGCAGTAATCTGAATATATCCAAAACCTGCAGGCCAGCATAGCTACATCTAGCGACAATCATTCTAGTAACATTGATAACATGAAATGTAGATCTTGAAACATTTACTGTACCAGAACTTGACTGGTGATCAGATGGCAGATGGCAAACTGATGTGAAATGATGTGAATCAGAGAGAATAGGAAAGAGAATGAGCTGAATGCAAGAGACAGAAGAGATTGATTATTCAATATTAGAAAAAGCATCCATCACCAATGTTGAACACGGCAATGATGAAACAAATGACATGCATTCTTACATCTCTGTTTGCAATCCCTCCTCAAAAAAACAAAACGAAAAATCCCACTCACCATTCCATTAGGTCATTAATAACATGTGGCACTGTTTCCTTCATTAACTCTTTCCTGCTGAAGAATAAAAGCAGCTCCACTAATTACAATAGTGTTTTCCAAGGAAGAGGAGAGCTTCTAAAGACACCTAGCTCTGAGCACGCTATATAATTTGTCCTACATAGATGTTTTCTTCCAGAGACCATCAATTTCTTAAAGTGTACCATGAAAGTTTTCCATTTTTAAACTCATGATTTGTAAGTTCATTCCCCACTATGTTGTCTTTGTTATTTTTATACTTTGAGGAAAAGAAACAGAATCCAGGGAATACTGGGCAGGATGACCTTTTATTGTCACAGAAAGGGATCTGTACTTTAAGGATGCCATCAGAAACCTTACAGAAACAGAAATCAGCATTTTATAGAGGAACAGGTCTACAGCATTATTTAACGATGGTCTCTAAGTGGCTGTGACACCATTATGCTTCCTTCAGTTAGTTTCCACCAAAGCTACAGCCTTAAAGGCACCTAAAATGGGGCCAACCATTCACTGATCAATTTCCCACCAAGAAATGGTTACCAGAAAACTGACACTTGATCTTGGATCCCTGATGGAGTCTAAAGTCAATGAGCACAAGATGCTCCAAAGCCATACTTTGCCCTGGAAACACCTTTGAGAGTTTTTGGTTCTTGCAAAAAAGCCAGGGAGTCCTACTTCCAATCCCTTCTGCTGCAGATCTGAGAATAACTCCCACAGCTTGGCAGAATATTAACAGTTCTCTAAAGAATTGTGCTAACCTATAAATAAAGGGTCAGGAAAAAACAGAAGGACAAACATCAAAAGGTGAATAGTGGTTATTTTTGGATTGTAAGTAAAGTCCGTGTAACACAGCAATGTGCAATTTTTTGGTGTGTGCATGGAATGCTTTTGTTGCAAATCTAACACCTATGCACACTGAAAAAAAAAAACTACTTGAAGAGCTCTCACCTCCTCAAAATGAGTGCACTGTTTATAGATATGCCATTGTCACAAAGGAATGCAATGCTGCTCTTTTGGTGTGTGCATGGAATGCTTTTGTTGCAAATCTAACACCTATGCACACTGAAAAAAAAAACTACTTGAAGAGCTCTCACCTCCTCAAAATGGTGCACTGTTTATACTGTTATGCACATTGTCACAAAGGAATGCAATGCTGCTCTGATGTGACACAGAGCTGTGTTTCAAGTGCCTTCTTCTTCGTATGTTAGACAATTCTGCTCAGGAAAACAACCCGAAGTAGCTCAGTACCTTGCAAATCAGCTCCAGGGTGTCCCGTGCAGTGTCCCCTGGTCGGACGACTATCAGGGCTGGCTGATTATTGGGCAGACAGAACCAGGATGGCGTGAAATACTCGTGGACCCAAATGTCACAATCAGGATTATGCTGGTGGACACTAGGTAAGACCACTTCTTTCTCCCTCTGTAATAAGAAGTGAAGTTAGCAGAGCAGCAGCCATTCATCTCTATAGTAACCTCTGATCCCCAGACACACACAGGAATATCTATTTCTAGGAAAATGGCCCAGGGGAGAAGCGGTGGCAACGGTGCAAGTTAAGGGAGAAAGAGAAGCTACTGAGAAAGGAGGCTTATGATAGGAAGGGGGCAGGGAGGTTTCTGACTTCAGATACTGGGCAGACTTCCTACTTGGCTCATGGCATCTACAGGTAAATGTGGCATGAATAAGTAGGCACCAAAAACTCAGAAGAAAGTAAGAAACAGACCACCCATTCAATTCATCACTGTTGCTATTATTTCTTCCACAAACCCATTTTAAGTTCTGAGCAGAGAATTCCATCAGCAAAAAGATCTGCCATGTGAAATTTATAATTGAGGGGGGGAGGAAGGGATAAATGAGAATGATGGAGGGGGTGAATTCAACTATGATATATTGTAAGAACTTTTGTAAATGTCACCGTGTACTCCCAGTACAACAATAATAAAGAAGAAAGAAAAGAAAAAAAAAGACAATGTGGCTTTCTGACGTGTTTAATGATGAAAACAAATCAGGGTGCAACATTAAAGAGTATCTGGGGTTTCCATTAGCATGTGTTGGCAGTACAAGAGACCCTGAATGTTATTCATAGACATAAAGTATGTCCAAAATTATCTCCTATGAAATGGTCATCAATTGAATTTTATTTATTAAAAAGAAAGATGATAAAAATTTGTGATAAACAAAAAGAAATTTATACTTGAAAGCCAGAATGAGGCCCTAAGGAAATTTTGTTCATAAAGATGATGTTCAAGCACTACATATCAATAGATAACATCACTTTTGTGCTCTCCTTGGACTTCTAACACATCTCTGAGTGGGACAGATCCATTTCCCAGATGAAGTTCAAAGGGCTTCCAGGATGAGCCTCATGGCAAGCCTCCTTAGGTCTCTACCATCACTCTGCTCTGTATGTCACCCTGTCCACACATCTGGGAGTATCCTGAAGCTTGTGAATGTGGGAAAAGTAGTACTGATGTACTCATTCAGCCAGCTGAGTTAAGCCTAAGCAAGCTAAACTGCTGACACAGAAATGGTCCACAGATGGAACAAATGTTAGGAGGCCAATAAAATAAGCGAGGAAAGAAATATGTTAGATTTTTGCAATGTCAACATAATATTGATGTTCAACATGTGCCAAGTAATATGCCTTCATCACTGGTTTATAACCAGGCTACTTGTTGGTAATTATGTATACACAGATTACCAAGAACAAGGCAAGTTACAAGAAACAAATTTCCAAATCAAGGCTGAAGTGGTAACATAACAACTTCCATACTTAAAGAGAACAGGATCTATCCGGAAATGTCTCAGAAAAGGCCACTAAACTAAAGCCAATTGCAAAAAATAATTTCAACCAAGCGTTTGAACGCTGTTGTTCACAGGTAAGTTGGACCCCAGGGAAAGAACTGTCAAGAAGTAATCAATTTGTCTCCATCCCATTAGCTGTAATTGGAATCTTCCTACATGGTTCCCACATGACACATTAACTAAGTGCCCCTTAGCACTGGATCAGCCAAAGGTTTGCATCTAAACTGCTCTTTGAGAATAAAGCATCCTATCCAGGAAGCTGTCATAGAAAGAGGTATCCTGGAAAAATGGAAAACCAAAACTACCTACACAGAAATTCCACAGAAAAACTTTTGTGGCTCCTACATTCTGTGTGTGGAACAAGATATCCAATCATTAAAAATGGATACTAATGGAATGCAAGATGAATTGGCCAAGATCAGAGACAACCAAGATATCAAAACCAATTTTATTTCAAAAAATTTCATCACAGAAAGATGTTCAAAGAGAGTGCCATGGTTGAAGGACAGCTGCTTTTGTGTCCAGGACTAATGCAAGATTAGTTTAAGTATGAAAGAAAGAAAAGGTCTTCCCACAGCCACTTGTCTCTCTCTCCCTCCAGGAGCCAGAACTTCCTACTGGACTCTGGTTTCTGAGACTCAGAACCTTCTAGAACAGGGAGTTTAGTCACTGCTGACTGACACTGCCTGGTTGCATGGCAACCAAGAACTGAATTCTGTCATATTGATCTTGACTCTGAAGAACCAGAGAATTTTACCCAGGTCATGTTACCAACACCAGAACCTCCAAACAAAGAGGCAGTGGGTATCACTGTTAGGGTCTTAAAAACTAGGGATGTCCATTGATTTAGAGGCTGAAAAAAGTAGCCAATGGCGGTGGGGGGGGAATCAATATCTTTATAGGCTTTCAATCAGAGCAGTTTGAAAGTCCCCATTAAATCCAAGCACAAGACTGAACCAAATCTGTGAATCTTTAATTGAATACTTGACTTGAGAGGCAAATGCATTTTTTAAAAAGAACATACTATCAGAACAGTTCTTTGAAATTAGTAAGTACAAAATAGCATGTGTGGGCAGAGAGCGAGGGCACTAACAGCTCACCTCTTGGGAATAGAAGTTGTACATAAAAAAGAATTAGCAATGACATAAAATATTCAGCTAACTCAGAACTCAAATTTTCTCTTATATTCTAGTTAGAAACTTACACATTAAACGGTAAGTATAGAAAATGTTAGGTCAGCAGGAGAACATTCTTATTATCACCAATTTTTAAACATAAAATGATTTTCCATCGCACACTGACCTGTTACATAACTATAAAAAAATAAAAAACCTGATAATTCCTGTTTTCATATTGAGTCTACTTAATTTTAGCATCCCAAGGAACAAAAACATTGTGCGTACACCGATGGACTTGTGGTACTTGGAGAAAAGGAACACGTGTTCATTTTTACCTTGCCATCTGGAACAATGTCATCAAATATGCCCTCTAGAGATTTCTTTACAGCGTCAGTTCCTTCTCCAAACACCTGCATATGCAAAAGTATCATCTTAAAAAAGAAATTTTGGCAATGGAGCAAATGAAACATGGGAAGAAAAAGGAAAATGGGCTAGGTCACTAGAAAACATTATAGTAGTTTTCAGATACTCCTGACATAATTTATGATAGCAGACGGTGAAACCCATGTCCTTGTATGCAGACAACTTCCCATACTTTTAACAATTAAAAAAAATTGGATTTTAAATCTGGAAACTTCACCTTAATTTAAAGAAAATAAACTTGCAAAAGCAATGAATTACATTCATTCACAGTGAAGAATTTCTGCCTCATGTACCTCATCAGATATTTACAAATAACTTTGCTTCTTATTCCTTCCTTGATGGAACTTGAGAAGATATTTGTAGGGTTTTTACTACAACATGGCAGAAAAGTTTCATTTAATTAAAAAAAGAGAAAATTGTCTATTCTTTGAGATTTATGAATCTTATTAACTTAAAGATATTATGAAAATAGTGACAAGGTACCAGTGCCACTACAACTCAACACCCAAACACTTGGACACAGGGACATTAAGCCTTGGTTATAAAATGAGCATGTACTCTCAGGATAATATACATGATTAAGAAAAAGTATTTCCCCTGATGCAAATGAAGTATTCAGGAAAAAAGATAGCATACACTTTTCCTTCATTTCAAAGTATGAGTAAATTTCTATCCAAATGTTTATGGTTAAGAAAGAAGGTTTTAAGAAACCTTTCTTTAAGAAAAAAAAATCACACTTTGATTTCTTAAAAAATGTAAAAAAAAATCCTCTTTAATTCACTTAAACTCAGTTCTATATCTCAGGAGCAATGGGCTATAATATAACATGATGTCAGCCAAACTAAGTCTTTTGATTGAATACAAGTCCAATCTGCAAGGTCCTGACTACATTCATAGTGATGTCCTGAGTCCTCTGTAATGACAGGGGATGCATACAAAATGACACCACCACCTCTCAAAAGGAGGGGAAGAATGCTGACTGCTTATGGCCTCCTTCTGCAGGCTTAAGAGTCTCTGCCGTGATGGTCCCATGAAACGCTGACCTTCCTCCAAACTGTCTCTTCTTCAGATTTACGTAACAGCAAAGTCCACTGTAACCAACTCTATGTTCTGAGGTTCAAAGACCTCAGAACCAACTGGAGACTTGTTCGCTCTCACACAATGTCTTATTACTTGCTATCTAGTCTCCTGAAGGTCCATCAAGACAAGGTCTCCTTCACTACTAAAGAATTCATGTTCTTTAGTCCCTAAAAAATGAGAGAAGAGTTCTAGGGCTTTCCATTTCTCCAAGTCAGAGAAGGATGGCAGGAAGGATGGAGAATGAAATTCTGAGAGGTAACTCCAGCAGGAGAGTGGCCTAAGTTAGTAAGGAAGTAAAATTAACAGGGAGCAACAGGGCTGCAGCACACACTTATCAGAGGCCCCATGATGCACCCGTCCAGGTGGTGCCCTGCACGATGTGCTGGAGATCCTTGCCAGCCTGTGCATCTGACTGCAAGGGAGCAAGGGGATGAGTCAGTACTCTCACATTCTTGACTCCTCATTCCCATAGGCAGAGGAGTTTTCCATTTACAGTTGGCCCCAGAAAGGCCAGAGTAAAGAAACGATCAGATCCCAGGAAGCAACCTTTCATCCAGCACCAGAGGGAGCTTAAGAAGACTGTGCTTAGTGCCCACTTGGCTTCACCAGCGAGCCCTGCTCCTTTCTGAGGACTTGGGGTGAACTGTACACTTCCTGTAGGTCTGTAATTACCAGGGTTTGACAAAGATACAGGTGGGAGCCCGGAGCTCAATGATAGACTAATCACAGAACTCAAAGTTACAGGTCTCCATTATCTAGTAAAAGAAGTGTCCAGTACAACTAACTTCTTTGTGTCAAGTACTTGATTTTTTAAATAACACTCAGGGTCAATAAAAAAAGCATACACACACACACATCCCCAAATGAGGCAGCCATGAAAGCGATCACTGCAGGTTTCTTTTTCTATGTTAGAACCTACCTGATTGATGCTTGGACGTCCCTGCTTCTTTTTGGAGGTAGTGTCCAGACCCCAAAGTGAAGAAAACCTGCTCCTTCGCTTGCTTGTGGATCTGGACATGGCCTGAGTACGTCTTCTCACTCCAGTTTCGCCAGTGCGTGCTGCCACCTGATTACAGCAAGACAAGCAGCAACAGGAAAGGTCTGTCAGAATGGCCACCTGTGCCTTGAGGTCCCCACTCAGTCCCACCCTTCAAAAAAAAAAACCCTCCTCTGTCATGCCAGTCACTGCCCAAAGGACTGAATCCATGACTCTCACACATGAGGACTTCAGAGCTCTTTCTCTTGGGTTCAAATGGAAAAGGAAAGGTTGGCAAACTCAATCACTGTATGACATCACCAGTAAAAAGATATAAAACAGTAATAAAATATAAGTGTCATCATGCTTCGAAGAATTAGATGTCTTTCTAGTCACAAACCTGAACTATAGCATCAAATTCAATGAACCATGATCTTTTTGTTTGTTTGCTTTCTGGCGGAACTGGGATTTGAACTCAGGGCCTCACACTTGCTAGGCAGATGCTCTTACCACTTGAGCCACACTGCTAGCCCTGAGCCAGGATTTCTTCAGCTTCTCCCCCAAATATAGAGCTACTTCTGTATTCTAATGAAAAATGGTGTTAAAGGTCAACAAAATGAGTGAAAAAAAACCCAGCTCCCGTGACTCTATATAAAATCTGAAATTACCAATCTCTTTGAATCTGTAAAAATCATCTTCTTTACTAGGCAAATACTGGGTCCTCCAATATTCCATTATCTCCTCTCCTTTAGTCAAAAAAAAAAAAAAAAAACCGCAACTATAGCTGAACACCTGGTCAGAAAGTCAATGTTGGCTTATTTTCCTTGCAGTAGGGCCTGGGCTTGTGACTCGATTTTGATTAATAGGATCAAAGTACAGAAACTATCTGCAGAGACAAGAAATTGTCCTGAAGAGGAGGTGGCTTTCTGTTATCCTTGGTGCTCCTCATTCCTAGTGACAGTAATGGTCTAGGATCTAGGCAGATGAAGTCTTTTCAAAGAGAGCAGAACAAGACAAAAAGAACCAGTGTCCCTGAAAGGAGTGGAGCCACCCTACCAGACATCCATTACATGTCCTATGTTTAGGTGAATGGAAATAAAACTTGTGTTAAAAATAAAAATACTGTTGAGATATTCTGCAAAGGACCAGCAAACCACACAGATTTTTATGAAGAGAACACCCCAAATTTAAGGCTGTCTCTGTGATGTTGGTCAAGTGCCATCTCTGAAGACTCCATAAAGTACTCTCAGGCAAAACATTCAAGCTTGAACTTTATCCCATAAGTTGCAAGCAAAGTCCCAGAACTTCAGGGACTTCTGCCAGGAGGTCTCACCAGGCCACCCACGGGCTCTCCTTTCAAAGAAGGGAGCGGCAGGAGGTTTAGCGAGTCAGACTTGAAATGAAACTCCCCTACCCGCTCTCTGTCCTGGAGGTGAGTATCTTGGAACCTACTTGTCATAGATTCCCATGCAGGAAACTCCCAAAATGACAGATGCCAACTGGCAGCAGCTTAGGTGCTGAAACAGTGTTGGGTAATAGAAGAGGCCTCCCCAGCAGTGGGCATGTAGACTACATGACAGCCTCTCTAGGTCTTCAATATTGACAGTATAAACACCACAGAAATCCCATGAATAGACTGGCAAGGACTCCACCTACATTAAAAACAGGAATCAAAACAGCCTCTCTGCCAGGGTATTAGGGAAGAAGGATTTTGGTCCCAGATGAAAATAGGAAGATGAGGTAGCTGAGAGGTCTTGCATTTTTCAGCTTAGCCCATAATAAACCCAGATCAGTGTATAAAATAGGGCAGCCACGACACCGCGGGACATCTTATGAAAAAGATCTCTTTGGGAGGTGGGAGGGGGCAGTACTGGTTTTGAACTCAAGGCCTTGGGTTTGTTTGCCAGGCAGGCACTGGACCACTTGAGTTGAGCCATCAGCACGAAAAAGATCTTAATCTATGATTATTCTTAGGATGTTGGGGGGAAAAAAAAATCACCAAACAAAAGACAACATAAAACATGTAAAAGTTTTGTGTTTTCTATTTTCACATTTTTTAAGTTAAAGGTAAACAAAGGTTCCAGCAGAAGTCAGCTGTCCGGACAGAACCATTCCTGTGATGGTGTTACACTGCTGGGAGAGCAATGTCTACTCTTCATCCAGTTGCCTGTGTCACTGTTCTGGTGGCCTATGGGCCTGGGCAAGACAGAACTGTGCTTCCTTGAGAGTGTGCTAAGCATTTGCTTTGGCTGCTTAGTTCTAGTCTGAGAGCAGACACAGTGAAGAAAATAAAATAAAATAAAGGTAAACAAAGGTAAAAGGATTAAATTAAAACATGCTGACACACATATGCTCACTTGACTATGTAAAAATCTTAAAATCCTAGAGAAGAAAATGCCTGTTTGGCCTCGTGTTTATATATCTATTTACAAACACGTAAACCCAATCACAAAGAGATTTACATACACATACACACAGGCATGCATGTAGAGTCAGACCTTGGTATCGGTGGATTGCACCAAACTCAGATCAAAAATATTCAGGAAAAAAGTTTCATCTCAACTGAACATGTACAGACTTTCCCCCTTGTCATGATTCCCCAAACAATAAAGTATAATCGCCATTTACATTGTGATAGGTATTATAAGTCGTCTTGAGATGATTTAGAGGAGGATGTGCATAGGTCCCAAGGAAATGTTACATCACTGAGGTACTTGACTACCCCCAGATTTTGGCAGCCAAGGGGATCCCGGAACCAGGCCTCCGCAGAGTCTAGTATAAGTGAGTGTGTCTTACCGGTCAACTTCCTTCATAGCACACAGCAGTATCCACTTATTTCTTACCGTCTCTCCTACCTGGATATAAGCCCCAATAGGACAAGGTCTTTGTGGCATTTCTTGTAACAACCTTCATGAGCAGAATAGTAACTGACACACGCCAGCACTTATAAATATTTGTTGATTGAAAAACACTAAAAGGCAAATGGCATAGTAACCACTTAAAAAGTAACTCTCTAGTTTAAAATTTTAGGGGAAAGAAGGAGTGTGAGCGAGAAACCCACACACCCTCAAATACTCTCGTGTGACCGGCTGACCAGCTGGTGTGGGCTGTTTAACAAACACTGCATTGAGCTCTTCTCAAGTGCCGGGCCCTGCAAAGGGGAAGAGTTAACCCCACCCCCGGGACAATAATGCCTCAAAAAAGAGCAAAGGGATGCAAGAAAAAGAAAAAAAACAAAAAGCTGGCAGGAAAACCGCCAGCCAAGAGCTCAAGGGTTTGTCAATGACCTGCTCAGACAATGCCTCCCACTGTGGCCTGCACCTGATGATCCTATCGCTCAGCTCATCTGTGCAAACACGAACAATGATAACCCTTTTTCAAAGAGTACAGCAGGGACCCTTCAGTTAATTACGGCAAATCACCCCACGTTACTGATGTACTCCTAGTGAATGGGGCTTCCATTGTAGCTCAAATCCTTTCCCTGGCCCTGTTACTCTCACACCTCCTCCTCCCACCACCCTCACTTAAAAGGGGGGAAAAAAATTCTGGGACAAAGGCTAAATTGAAGAATGTCTCAACTCCAAGGGGGTGGAAAAAAAATCTCTGGGGTCAAATAACAAGGAAAGAAGGGGAAAAAAATAAGTATCCAATAAATCGGACTGTAAAATTCCCTACCCGGGATGTTCTGCAGGACCTAAGGCAGGAAATAGGAACCGATACCCAATACAGTCACCTAACTTGTTCTGCCTCAAATGGAACCCCTTGTGGAGAAGGTAAGATGGCAGGGACACATGATCATGGAGACTTGCATGGCTGAGGCAGCCACAAGAAAAACAAAGGAGCAGAGAGTTGGACATTAAAAATTAAATATTATTAAAATCACTGGTCCAAAACCTGAGAGTTACCAAGTCTCCTGCCTTCATCTTCAGCTGGCCAGATTTTAATCACCTGCCACCAAAAGAAAAGGACACACAAATGACAGACATTGTGGCTTTGGAAACTAGAAGGCTGAAAGTTCTTACTTGTCTTCAGAGAGGCTAGCTCCAGCAGCTTGGAAGAAACGAATTGAAGCATACAAGTTTTAGGTAGAAGGTAAAACTATTTTCTCCAAATTCTATCAAGCCACACTAAAAGGAGGGAGCTGTGTGGGTACTAGCAATTTAGTTTTGCTATAGGTACTGACATCTTTACTGATATCCTGAGCTATCTTATAAAATGTTCCCTCATTGGGACATTTTGACAAAGAGCTAAGTAAGAATTTTTATCCCACTATTTTTGCAGAAGAAACAGACTAAGATTTGGCTAAGTTAAAAACCAGCATCTGGGCCTCAAAGAAGCAGACCTGATAATACCATAAACTGACAATTATTTGTAAGACATTCATCACAGCATTTGGTCTCACTATTGCTAAAAAACAGGACATAATAGTTACATGGAGAGGTGGTAGGCAGGCAGGCCAAGAGCAGCACTGCAATTAGCAGAACAAATCAGGATGCCAGTTTTAATAACTCCAGAAATTGGTATAAGACTTCTTTAAAAATGTAAATCCACCCCTAATTATCTGAATGATGATGCTAATCTATTTATAGAGAACACAAATGCCTCTGTCTGAATTACAGCTCTGAATTCAATTGAGGCTACAACTGACATGGAAAGACAAGAGCGGCCCAGCTAAGGTTTTTCCAAAGCAGTTTCTGGAAACCAAGACTTAACATTTAATTCCACAGCAAATGTGCTAAGGTGCAGTACATTTTAAGTGGGTGTCAACTTGGAGAGGCTAACACCATGTTACTTGCATAGTGATTTTTTCAGCAGAATGGAGCCAAAAGTACAGAAAGCTGTTTGCAATTTAGCAAGTACATGAAATTACAGATCACAAACACACACAACTACAGAATCAGAAGAAAATTCCCTTCTATGAGCAACACACATGTGCACCTAATGCACTCTGCAAGTGCTCTGCCTCCTCTAACACAGCAGGTATTTATGGCTATCCAACAACAATAAAGATGAAGAAAAGGACACCTTCAAAGAGACTTCTGTTCAAAATATGGTGTATGTATATGGGACAGGGAGGAGAATGAGAATATATTTATGCATGAACGAAAGTTCTCTGCTCACCATTTCCATAAGGTTAGAATTAAAAATATGTATTTCGGTTCACTGCTAAAGATAATAAGAGCTATCAACAAACAGCACCATAAACATCTTTTAAGGCAGCACATGTCAGAGTATGTAGCTGAGTGAGAAAGTGCTTGCCTTACATGTCAAAGGCTATGGGGTTAACTCCCAGCACTGCAAAATAAGACAACAGCACCTTTTCCATTTTCCTTGCACAGTAGTTTAGGCCCCATCAAGAGAGGCTTATGGGGGCTGGAAGTGTGGCTCAAGAGGTAGAACTTCAGCTTAGCAAATTCAAGCCCTGAGCTCAAACCCCAGTATCTCGCTCCCAACCCCCAAAAGGGAGGTTCATGTACTAAACTTCCAAATAAGTTCAAATGAAAATTTGCATCCACTGCAAAGGGAAGGCATTTCAGAAATCCAAACACAGCAGTAAGCCAGAGAAATACTTCAGAGACTCCTGTCAGGTCCTGTTCAGGATTAGGTACCAAGATGAGTATTTTTCAAAAATTCATTAGCTTCTACTCACCAGGGCATGAAAAGATGACACAGAGAAGATTCCAAGGCGGCCCATTGCCACTTTTGTTGGTCGGCTTGCAAAAGCAAGTAGCCTTTTGGGGTTTGGCAGCTCTCCACCTTGGAGGCTGGCTAAGTAACAGCGGAAACGGAACAGGTCCATTTGGAACTGTTCAAGATTTTGCTCCCAAACAAAGATCTGTAGTAGTGAAAATTGGAGGAAAAAAAGTGAGAAAAAGGTTACATGTGTTAATATCTGTACTCTATACAAACTTGACAAAGCTGTAAGTTGTAAAAGTACTCATTATACTCCTAACTAGTAAACAACAGGTACGCTGTTTCTTAGGTACATATGGTAGTTTTCTGCAAAGATCTAGAGCCATACATGCAGTCTGAAAAACAGATGTACATCATCTGTGTTCTCTTATCATAGATTTCTTGGACCTTCAGCTCCAGGAAACCACAAGAATTATCAGGAGGTAACTTTTCATAAGAAGAAAAGTGAAGTGAATTAAAGGTCAGAGGCAAATAAGACCAGGACCTTTGGAGAAGAGATGTGTGGTACAGAGCACAGGTAAGAAGTAGACAGTAGTTAGTGGAGACCCAGTTCTAACAGGAATACACAGTTCCAGCCGCAGCTCATCTATGACATTCTGTCATTTTTCAAGTTGGAAAAACAGCACCTATCTGATGTGATGTTTAAATAAGGTTGTGCAAGAGTAAATACAGGGTCTGGCTCAATGGCATTAATGATGATACAGTTTAAAAAAATAATGCTACTTGAATGTGTTTGATGTGCCCACTATAGAGGAGTGAATAAAGTAATCTTAAACTGGCAGAGGCCACTATGGGAAGGGGACTGGGAAGTAGTGAAGAGGTCTGGCACAGATGAACCAGTGTGGGGTGCAATAAACATGTGCATGGAAGCAATGCTAGGAATCTCTCTGTATAGCTATCTTTATCTCAAGCTAGCAAAAACGCCTTGTCTTTCTTATTATCTCCTATGGTTTCTTTTCAACAAAATTGGAGAAGAGGGCAGAATAGGTTCTGCCTAGCAGTGAGGGGGGTGGGGAGGAGAGGGAGGAAGAACGGGGGAGCAGGGGGGAGAGATAGCCCAAACAATATATACACATATGAATAAATATAAACAATTTTTAAAATAAATAAATAATAAAAAATGCTTATAACCTCAACTTAAAATATAGTACCACACACTTGTTCAAGGTAGCAGTATTCACAACAGCCATGGGAACAGCTCACATGCCCATGGACGGATGAGTAGATAAATAAATTGTGGTGTATACAAACAATGGAATAATCACCAGCCCAAGAAAGGAATAAAGTCCTAATGAATGCTACATGGTGAAGCAACTCCAAAACGTTATGCTAAATGAAAGAAGCTAGTCACAAAGGGTGACATGGTACACAATTCCATGCATATAAAACATCTCAAATAGGCAAATACTTAAAGACAATGCCAGGGACAAAGGGGAGCAGATGCTTCACAGGTACAGAGATTCATTTTGGAGTGAATAAAAATACTTGGGAACTAGAAAGAGGATGACTGCACAATATTGTGGATGTATGAATGGCTACTAAACTGTTCATTTTAAAGTTAAAGCAGTTAATTTTATGTTGTGTGAACACTGTCTTAATTAAAAAAAAAATACAGGCTGGTGAAGTGGCTCAAGTGGTAGACTATCTGCCTTGCATGCATGAGGTCCTGAGTTCAAGCCCCAATAAACCCCCAAAATAATAGTTACTATTTTCAGTTTAAAAAAAGAAAAGAAGAGAAAAGAAAACAAGCCAGGCACTGGTAACTCATCCCTAGCTCCTTGGAAGGCTGAAATTGGGAGGATCTTGGCCAGCCCAAGCAAATAGTTTGTGAGACCCCCCATCTCCAAAAAAAAAAAAAAAAAAAAAAAATACAGCATCCAGTAATAGAAAGGAGAGCGGGAGAGAGAAGTGAAAGGCTGCCTCATGTCAACAGCTGTTCAATGACCGAAATATCAATTATTCACATAATTATTTCCTAAGCATTAGGACACAGCTTCAAAGTACTCCCAGCTGAATGTAAGGCAAAAATACCCTCTTTTTATTTCACTAAAACTTGCCTTTTTAGCATGAAATATACTCATGCTCCTTCCTATTCAGCAATTATGTACAGTTGGATCTCTATCCCTATGAGTTCTACCACCTCGAATCCAACCATTGATGGATCAAAAATATTTGAAAAAATCTCTATCTGTACTGAATTTTCTTATCATTATTCCCTAAGAATGACTGTATAATAATTATCTACCTAACATTTACATAAATAATCTAGTGCCAGGTGCCAGTGGCTCATGCCTATAATCTTTGCTGCTCAGGAGGCAGAGATCATCACAGGATCATGGTTTCATGCCAGTCCAGGCAAAGGGTAAGATCCTATCTCAAAAGATACCCAACACAAAAAAGGGCTACTAGAGTGGCTCAAGTGGTAGAGAGCCTGCCTAGCAAGTTTAAAGCCCTGAGTTCAAGCCCCAGTACAAAATAAGTAATCTAGTAATGATTTAAAGAATATGAAAGGATGTGTGTAGGTTCTCTGCAAATACTATGCCACTTTATATACAGGCCTTGGGGCATCCAAGACTCTACTAGAGTCTTAGAACTCATCCCCTATAGATACAGACAGCTATATAAATTTTTTAAAAACATATTTTATCTTTCCCAAATTTAGAATTCTAATTTATTGAGGAGTCACAGTTCACTCTCCCACTGTGGCTTTAGCTTGAAGTCAACCTGATATTATGGGGGGTGGGGGGAATCACAGTTTATAATTAAACAGATCCCATAGACTTGTCCACTATTGGTGTGAGCCAGAGGCTCCTCTACCAAAGTTCTGTTGTCTGTTCAATGTCACATTGTTCCCTTTAGTTCATAGCAATCCACTGTGGAAAAAAGGGAGATGAAAACTGGCAGTCACAATAATGAACTTAGCAACTGGGGGTACAGGCTGCTGCAGAGATAACTAATGATGTTTCATGATTTCAACACAGCAAAAGAAGAAAAAAATTTGTAAAGACCTAACCGAGTTTGCCCAGGTCTAAACATGAAGAACGGTTACCTGATCTAATATAGTTTTCTTCTTCTTTGAGTCAGTGACTGAAGACAGCTGCATTTCACCCATTTTCTTCATCTTTTCATCCATGTCGATCTTCTGTTCCAGCTTTTTGATTTCTGACTTGAGGAGCCGGAGTGTGTCTTCTTTGTGGTGGTGTCTTGCAACAGCAGCTGCACAGGCAGAATGGATGGCGGTGATCCAGTTTTCCAGCTCTGTCTGGCTGGTGGTCTATACGAAGAGGGTGCAAGAAGGAAGAACCACCTCTTAGGAAGTAGACAGAAACACAACAATGTATGGTCATAGAAATAGAACCTGTGAGTCAAGGTGTCATGTCTTGACATCCCATGGATAAAGCTATCCTGACCTCCTCCTTTAAGAAATCAACGAAATAAAGTCCTCAGGTCCCCCATTCTCCCCTAGCCCCCAAGGGCCACCATGAATGAAGCCACCATGCCTGCCCACCCAACATACTTATGGAACTCACTTGTGTATGTGAGACTTCTACACAAATAGTTTGGTTTCTAGTTAAAGAGGATGGCTGCAACCAGTCAGTTATAACATGTAATTGAGGGCCAAGGGACATTAATGCCCAGCAAATTACTACAATTCAAATCCAAATGGTCCTATCCCAATGCTAAGCAGCTATGACAAAACAAGGGTTGGGAAAGAGGTTCAAGGCAACCAGAAGCAACCATGTCTTACAGGACCCCACAGATGCATCCACAAATAGCAGTCCCCCAGCAATGCTCCATGTGCTAAGAATGGTCTGCCCAAGAAGAAAATTAAAATGATGTTAGGTGATACCCACTGATGGACAAGTGGGACAAGTCCCACTTCAAGTGGGAGTGGTATAGGTCAAAGATGCTCTGAATGGTAAAACAGTCTTAGGGAGACAGTTCATGTATAGTAACTTGCTGTCAATGATTCTGAAGGAACTCAAATGCATTTGCAATTAAGGAAATTACCAGGTATGATCTCAAGGTCAGAGAAGTTATTAAACACTCAGAAGGTTAGCCCACCTAAAGAAATACTCTGTTCTTCCACTCCCGTACTGAAGTAGCTACTAACCCCATTTTTCAAGCACAAAAACCCTAATTTTTTCTTTGATACAAGTTTTCTAGCTCATTGGAGTGATGGCTTACAAGTAAAATTCTCCTACCAGGACTCCACCAGTGTATTTATTCCATGCTGCCTGGTAGCTACAGTGTTAGTCAAGAGACCACTGTAGCTACCCTTATTATTTCTGAATCCTAACTGTTTTGTATTCCATCAAAGAAATTGCATCAAACACTGGACAAACCTAAATGACCTGGCAATTATTAAGCTTATGAAAACTGCCAGTGAATAAAGACTTTGACCATATATCCATTCTCGTAAAGGATTAGAGGAAGTATAAGCTGATGAGCAAATGGAGTTGCTGTGAGGTCTGAGTGGGATGGAGAAAGGAAGGAGAGACAGTAGAAACCACAGGTAAACATGTAGGTAGAAAAACTTAAGGGGGAAAAACAAGTAATACAGGTCTAAATGTGAAACTCAACTTTAACTCTGAAATATGCCTGAATTTGTTTTTAATATTTATCTTCTTTTGAAGGTCATTATCTTACACTTTTCTTTACATATCGCTTTGAAGTCACCCAGAGTTCAAGATCCTCCCACATATAATGAAACCAGCAGGTTCACTCCTGCCAGGACAATGTACAATGTTTGCTCTTTGGATATCTCGGTGCCTTAACTTGAATAGGTATTTTGTTAAGTGGGGCTATTTTTCCTGCCCTTTTGTTATTATTGTTTTGAGACAGGGTCTTGCTATATATCCCAGGCTAGGTCTGAACTCACAATCCTCCTGTCTCAGTGTCTGGTGCTGGAATTATAAACATGTGATGGCATGTACAGCTCCATTTTTGTTGTTGTTGTCTGTTGTTTTAAAGATTAGGTAAAGAACCAGCTCAGATGGAAAGACAACTTAATAAGTATTATTCTGTAAAAAAGAACCAACCTAAAACTTCTAGTGTTGGCAACAATTTGGAGCAACCAGAACTCTTCCATGTTGCTGGATTCTCGCTGCAAAGTATATGAGTGCAAGTGTTTTAGAAAGCTGTTGTGCCCAACAGTTGAATATATGCCTGCCTTGTGATCCAGCAGACACACTCAGGGTACATACCTAACAGCACTGTATTCAGATGCTCACCGGAATGAATGTACCAGAACATGCAAGTTCTGTAATAGGCAAAGCTGGAAACTCTCCAGGCAACCACCCACAGGAGAATGGACGAACATGGGGGAGAATCACACAGTGAAATACTACACGGTGATGAGACAAATGTACAACACACATTGCAAGACCCATACATCTCTCACACACAGGGAGAGCACAACATGCAAGGGTATGTACTGTAGGATGTTATTTATATAAAGCACATACACAGGCAAAATACATACAATTAGAAACCCAGAGAGCAGTTCTTCACTGGGAAATGGGTAAGGGGAGGACAAAGAGAAGCATGGGGGGGTGGGGGTTTCTGTTTCTTGACCTGGTGCTGGTCAGGCTAGTGTGGGAGTATTCCATTTGCCAGACACCATCAACATGTGTTCCTGTCTGTGTTATATTTTAATGCAAAGTTCACCCCCCAAAAAAAACCTTCCATAATACATTAGCCTAATATTCAAATATAATTTTGCACTACCTGTCTTAAAAATATTATATTGCAGATTCTATCTTTCATTAAAAATTGTCCCAGCAAGACTATATAAAGGAAGTTCCAAAAGCAGGACCTTTTCAGAAAGGTCTTCCAAGTACTGATGGCACTTGATAAATAACTGATTTTCTGGCCCAAAACATGCTTTATGATTTCTATGCAGAGTACAAAAGAATAAGGAGATTTTAGACAGTGAGGAGCTGGCATTACACCCACTAGACAGTGTGCTGACATCCACATGCCACCCTACAGAGCCAGCCTAAGCCATTAAGGAGAAACCATACCTTGTCCACAAACACCTGGTCCCTCCATGTCCATTTCCCCAGGAAAAGCCTCTCCGATCTCTGCCTCAGTTAGACCCCACCAACCCTCATTCTTGAACGTACAGAATAAAGAAATGAAATGATTAGAATACTGACATCACAGCTGAGGAACAGAAGGAAGGACCTTCAACTGTTGATGGCAAGCTCTTTGAAATACATGCTATGAACTTAAATCTTTAAATAGAAATATTCATATAGAAGAGGTCTTGTTGACCAAGTTACAGATGGCAAAACAAAAGTGTAAAAAAATCTGGGAGGGCACAGTAATTTATTATAAACACCAAACTGGCAATCCTGTACTTTTTATATTGTCAGTTGGGCAACGGTGGTTCACACCTATAATCCTAGCCACTCAGAAGGCAAAGATCAGGAGGATCGTGGTTCAAAGCCAGCCCATGATAAGTAGTTCTAAAAAACTATCTTGAAAAAATCCATCACTAAAAAAGGGCTGGCAGAGTGGCTCAAGCAGTAAGAGCACCTGCCAAACAAGGGTGTGCCCTGAGTTCAAATCCCAGTGCCAGCAAAAAAAAAAAAACTGCCATTTGTTTCTCTTTCTTTTCTAATATGACACACAGATCTTCCTCCAAGCGCTTGTCAATTACGCTCTCTGAATTCCAGAAATATGGAAGGAGGGACTTTTCCTGCCCCATTTAAAGCCAGGCACAGCCATGTCACTTGGCTTTGCTCAATGAAATGTGAATAGGAGTGAAATGTGTCACTGTACCCAACAACAGCCTGCCTTACCCCATGCTGTCCTTCGACCTACAGTCATAAAAGCATGTGTCAAGAAGGAGATCCTGTCCACCTGGCTCTCATGGTGTCTAAGAAGTAGAGACCCCATAGCCAACCTCCACCAGACACTTGGCGGGAGTGAGAAGGTGCACTGTCACTGAGCATTGAGGGTTGCTCCTCACTGCAGCATAATCTAACACATCCTAACTGATATTCTGGCCAAGAGAGAATTACATCTCAAAACAAAGAAATCAGTATGACGTGCTTTTTTTCTTTCTTTCTTTCTTTTTTGGTGCCTCATCCATGTTACTCAAGCTCACTGTACCACTGGGCCACATCCCAGCCACTTTTAATCCCAAGACAGGTCACAACTGGATACGTTCTGTACAACAGTGCCCTTTTGCTCTCTCCCCTTAATGAAATAGGGACTCACCTCTACATCTCTCCCCTGAGGACCTCAGCCAAACACAGCCAAGAGCAACCTGGTCCATTCTGATGTGAGTGAGGTTATGTTTGTCTCTCATTAAGAAGTGGAATGAAAGACGCTGACACCAGTAGAAGTAAAACGTCATTTAAAAAACGACTACTTAATTTTAGCAAAGGAACTATCCTGGAACTTCTCTATTTAAAAGAAAGTGGAAGCTTCCATGGGCTGAGGATAGGAGGAATGGAGTAGCAGCTTTGCAAGATGAAAAGGAGTTCTGGTGACAATGCAGCCATATGTAAAAGGACACAATGCTCTTGCACTGTACATAGTAAAGATAGTAAATTTTACAGTATGTGTATAACACTACAATTAAAAAGAAGAAAGAATCAAAAATAAAATAGAACAAAAGAAACAGAAAGGGTGAAGAAAAATCATGTCGATCCCTGAACGCTAGAGAAACATAACTACTCAGAAATACGTGATGACAGATTTATGAAAAATTTAGCCATCAGCCCTTTTAACCATTAAGTATGTCTCAGTCCTCTAAACTCTTTTAAAACCTGTCAGTGGCTGAAGGCAGTTCCATTAGAGAGAAATTTTGCTCCTGCTGCCCTGTCTAAATAAAACAGCAGTCCCTGCCTTTCTCTACCATTACGCCAAATCAATTTCGAAGAGCCACAATTCAGTAAATGAGCTTTTCAGCAAAGTTTGTACTTTTGAAATGGCACACAGGGAGCTGCGTGTGATGAGAGGGAGGGAGAACTCTCCACTGACTGCTCTCAACAGCTAGTTAAGGGGAGAAAAGTCTTGAAACATTTATGACAGTTCCCAGGCTTAACAGTTCAGAGCTGATCATGGCAGACTGCTAACTTGTTCTCCAGGTGGCCTCTCCAGCATCTAAATTCTGACACTGAGAAGAGGCTGTTCAAGTCACTAACCTTGCATCACCTCCTTAAACCAGGCAAGGTTAGTTAGGGACAGCAGGTGTAAGAAAGGCAGGAAGGAGAGACCACCTGATGGCATCCTCTTGACCTCTTCACCAGTCATCAC